TCCTCTAGAGTCAGACCACAGAATGTGCAGATGTCTGGAAGGAGACAGAGGTTGCTGTACAGATAATTTTGAAGGTTGTCCTCGCTGCTGGCTGTGTGAACTCCTATCTCACTGCTAACGTAAATTAAAATAGAGATCAGACCTGAATAATTACGGAGCAGACAAAACCAGTTAGGTCGCCTAAGTGACCTCAACCTTGCTTGAACTGCAAGCTTAAGTGAAACAAAACTTGGGTCATTTCTGAGAAATGTGTATGTTAAATAAGAACTCAAACCATATCAGCCAATCATAAGCAGCCAACTAACATAATTATATGACAAGGGACTTTTCAACAAGGTACATTTAAAATGGGCAATTTCATCATTGCAAGTCAATAAAATAATTTATTTTGTTTCTGCATTTTCCAAATAAATACTTGCCTCTGTTGTTTTTGTCATTGAAATACTAAATCTCTTTAGGTCTGATGTTCCCCAATTCATGAACTGCTTCTTAAATAAACTCTTCAAATGTTTATTGTGCCTCAGTTTTTGTTTTGTTTTGTTTTTAACAGCACCTGTAAAGTCCAGGTAAAGTGCCTCGTCTATCCATCTATCCCCACATCTGTTAATTTATTCTGTAAGTACGGGTTGGGCACTTGCTATGTCCCAGGTATCACTTGAAGCACTTAGAAATACTATTGTGGAATTGGTCTCGACCCTCTAGAATCTGTCTTACCTTAGTCAGCAATGTAAGCAGTGCTTTAAAATTATAAAATGTTTATGGAGATATATGATTTCATATTAATATTGGTTTCTCTCAAATATTTTGAGCTCTCAAATTCCCATTATGAGTAGATAGTACAAATGAGCAGCTTAACAAAGAGAAGTGACTTGAGCACTCCATCAGTGCTGGTGGCAGGGAGACCACACTAGTTCATTCAGGTTCAGGCCTGGGTTGTTTGAGGAGTGACTTGGATGCCCTTCTGGGCCCTGTCTCCAACCATTTCTGCTAAGTTGTAACAAAGTTGTAGGATTTCACTTATTGGAAGTTCTGTGGTGGTGGGACTTAGCCCAATGGAAATTAATGAGGGGGGTCTATGGGTATAGGGAGGAAGGAAGAGAGAAGTGCTTAACCTGACAAGACCTCTCTCTCCAGGAACTAGTGAATTGCTGGTGACACAGCAAAGGTTGGGCACTTTACAAAGAGGCAAAACTTGCCTAAGTTAACTTGGTCCTTCCATTGTTGCATGAGACCAGAATATGATCCATCACCATGTGCCAGAATGTTTTTCCTAGAGGGAATCTGCAATCTTACCAGTCATAGTAGATACCAGAGCTGTATTTTAAGTTCCCACAGTTCTATGGCATTTCCAGTAAGAGACTTTAGTAATACACATTTCACTCACACTATCCACAGGGAGTGAGGCAGCTCCATCATGGGTGTGGATGAGGAACTACAGAGAACCAAGACTTGATTGCTCCATGTAATGCAAAAAAATATGTCCTTAGAATTGCTTAGTTCTCTGAGTTCGCTATTTCAGATTCTGCTTTAGAAAGCAATTCCTAAGTGGAAAAGGTTCGGTCTCTTCATCTGTAAAATGGCCATGAAAACGCCTGCAGAGGGTATGGGGAATGAATGACAGCAAGAGCAGAAGACTGAGCACAGCTCCAGCCAGTAGGAAGTGCTCACTAACTTTTCACTCAGTTATCCAAAGTCTGGTCCAGCAGGCCAGGCCTCTGTCTGGTTCTCAGCTTTCTCACTCACTTTCTGTGTGACCTTGAGCAAATGATTTTGCCTCTCTGAGCCTCAGTTCTCTCATCTGTGTCTTGCAGTGGTGCTCTGACTATGTTCTGGAACTGGCCCAGGCTCTGTCTAATCTCCTGGTGCTACTGAGGGGATGAGGGGATGAGGTCTAGTCTCGTCCAAGCTGAGCAGCTGTCTTCCATTTGTTTTCTGGCATTACAAATTTTGAACAGAGATTTCCAGATCCTTAAATACGTGTATGAACCTAAACCCCATCCAGATTGGATATTTTTCAGAGCAGGTGCCTGTGGTTCATCCTCGCTGTGGACAGATGTTGGTTATATATCTGAGGTCACAGTAGACGTTGCCAGTCTTTCCTGATGAGCCCTGAACCTTTCCATGCTGTGTGAGTGTGTCCCAGTTCTGTGCCCTTCTTCTCTCTGTGCCCTGCTGGACTCCTACCTGCTCCACTTGCACATTGTCCAGGGTGCTTTCTCTGATCCCTGGGGTCATAGAGACCCATCTCTTCTTGGAATACATCCAGCCTGCTGTTTATACCTGTGGCATTCTCTTGGAATCATTTGTCTGAACGTTTTGCTTCATCCACCTGTTTCAGTGCTACCCTCGTGGACATTTGGGAGGGTAAACTGTGGGTGTTCAATCAATGTTGAGTGAAGAGACCACTTTGTATGACACCAGATTTTAGAACTTTTGGGTGAAATTTTATATAGTTAAACGGACTTGGGGAAGCATTTTAAAAATTACTAATTTTCTCCCAGAGTAAATAGGTTACTATATATATTTCTTTCTTTCTTTCTTTCTTTCTTTTTTTTTTGGAGAGATTTTTGCTATAGGGCGCGTGCGCTCACCAGACAGACAGAGAGAGACATAGAGACAGAAAGCGAGAAATCACCCCCCAGGGGGGATGGTCAC